GTCTGCATCTCATGACTCTGGGTGTTTATTAGGGGATCTCACCCCCACATTCTGGAGAATTCACTGCTGTGCTTTTTTAAAACCAACACTCTTGTAAATAAGCAGACAGACATAATTGGAGACTGACTTGCTGAAACTGCAGTTTAGCCAGTTCAGCTGTTCCAGTTCTGTGGAAGCCTTCTTTCTATAGGCTTGCTTCTGAATGGAAATTCCTTTTATAGGAAGTGAATGAGTCAGATGGGTTTGACTGTGAAACCCATTATGAGGAACTATTTAAGTGTAAATAAAATGGTGTTAGAGCCAAGAAGGGAAATAGTTACAGGTTCTTAGCTCTGAGACACCATTGGAAAAGTTTGCTGCCCTTATAGGAGATTGGCTTCTGCATGTCCTTCGATCTCATAGCTTGGAGGTAATTTGATTTCTAAATGTATGAGTTCCTAGTATGTGCAAGACATGGAGGATAGAGTGAATGAGATGTCTTTCCTTTTTTGGAGCTCAGATGAGTAGAAGAGAAATGTGTACATTGATTAATAAATAAACAGGTGCTATAGAAGCACTTAGGAAGCAACTGGTGTGCTGGAAGGTTGAGGGGAAGTGATCATTTCTTTGTTAAGGATTGAATACGAGTTTGCCATCTAGAGAAAGGAAACTTCTAGAGAGCGGGAATACCATATCCAAAGTTATGGAGGTATAAAATGTGTATAAGTGTGTAAGGAAAGGAAAAGTTGAGAATGATTATGATTTAGGACCTATGGTGAGAGAGGAACTGGAGCGTGAGCTTGGAGGCAGATCAGTAAGACCTTAAATGCCAGTTGTCAATTGGGAGCAGAGAGAGGACTATTAGAGTGATCACGTCGTCATTCACATTGGCAGTGGTCTGGAAATGCTTTAACTTGGAGTTGGGACCACTGCAGAGAGAGCCCAGTTGTGGTTATCTAGGCAGGAGATCTGGAGAGCCTGAAGTTAAGCAGTAACAATGGGGATAGAAAGGAGGGGACGATTTCATTAAATACTTAAGAGAAAAACTGTGTGGGCATCTACTTGAGCTGCTTGACAATTGGAGATCAGATCAACTCAGTTTGCAAGAGAATAATGGAAGAGATGTGTGCCAGGAAGCAGACTGTCTCGGAATACCCAGGTCTCATATTAACTTGAACGTCCCCTCTTTACACAGGTTAGAAGTCCAAGCCGATGTCCAAAAGGAAATTTTTCCCAAAGACACAGCCAGTCTTGGTGCAATTAGTGACAACGCAAGTACTCGCGCTATGGCCGGTTCCATAATCAGTTCCTACAACCCACAGGACAGGTATGTGACCAGTCAGATGCCCAGGAGAGGTTGCATTTTTTGGTCAGGTACTAGACCTTCAGAAACTCAATGCCTTCTATTAGAGCTCTGCGTACCATCTAGTGGGATATGTAGTGTGTGTGCCCTGTGACTTCATTGAGCAAGTTCTTGGCAGCTCTCGATTTAGTCTTTGTTAGCACTTGATTTTTAGAGGATTTTTTCTTTCTTTCTTTTCTTTTTTCCTTTTTTTTTTTCTTCTTGGCTTTTGCAACAGTAATTATTTACATGGAACTTTGAGAGCTAGATTGGTATTCATTGACATCTGTGGATCTATGGCTTCTGCTCTCATGTTGCCCTTTGGTTGGTGTGGCTCCTGTACCTTATTTCTCTTTATTTTCGAGAACTAGTGTGTCTGGTATTGTGTGAGTGCAGCACTTCCTTCTGGAGAGTTCCTGGTTTCTTCTGATTGTAGCACAGCAGTAAAAAGCTTTGAATCTTCTTTCACTTTCATAGGGTAAGATAGTGTGAGGCCCTGACACTAGTGGAATTTTGGAAGTTCTTTTTTAGTTTAAAGAAATTGGCAGAGGTGTATGTGTTTGTTTAAATGAACAAAAAGATCTAATTGTTCTCCATCCTATTTGAGTGTTAGGCTAAATTTTTGTTTTCACTAAAAATGAACTCTAGTCTATTTACCTATGTTTTGGGGCTTTCTATTCCTGAGCCCACAAACTGCTTTTACCAACAGGTATTGCATGACCCATGCATGACTCAGCATAGTGGATTTTGTCTCCACAGAGAATGTAACAATATGGAAATCCAAGTGGACATTGAAGCTAAGCCAAGCCACTATCAGCTGGTGAGTGGAAGCAGCACGGAGGACTCACTCCATGTTCATGCTCAGATGGCGGGGAATGAAGAGGAAAGTGGTGGTGGCAGCAGCGGCAGCAATGAAGAGGATCCCCCCTGCAAACACCAAAGCTGTGAACAGAAAGACTGCCTGGCCAGCAAACCTTGGGACATCAGCCTGGCCCAGCCCGAGAGCATCCGTAGTGACCTAGAGAGCTCAGACACACAGTCAGATGACGTGCCAGACATCACTTCAGATGAGTGTGGCTCCCCTCACTCCCATACTGCAGCCTGCCCCTCGACTCCCAGAGCCCAAGGTGCGCCCAGCCCAAGTGCCCATATGAACCTCTCTGCCCCAGCTGAGGGGAAGACTGTCTTGAATCCAGAAGGTGCAGAAGCCAGAGTATGAAGGGGAATGAATGCTCCTGTTCTGAGAAGCACACTTGTTGTAACTGCATCTTTTGGAATCTTTTTTTTGTGGGGGTGGGGGTGGGAGTGGAGATTTATGTATTTTACTTCAAAGATTCTCTGGTCACAGGTTTCCTCAGGGAAACTGAGAAATTTGCAATTTCTTACAGATAAAACATGGGAAATTTTGCCCTTAGTCCCACACCCCATCCTCCTCCCCCCTTTTTTAAGTTTTAATTTATTGGTTAAACTGATGGTGGCAATTGTGAGGTGTGTCAAAGAGTGTACAGATGTATGTGTGTATATTGTATGTATGCTAACATTATCGAAGGACACATTTTAATAAAGATTTCTGTTGTAATTCAACTCCTGTCATTTTCCTTGGCTTGGGTAGTCCTACAGAGCCAAGGGTTTGAAACAGACCGCTATGTCCTTAACATTCTATAGATCTGAGGTTCCTGATCCCAGGGGAGAAGGATTGTATTCTGATCTGACTGCATTGGAGTCATCTATGAACCAGGGATTTCTAGCATAAAAGGAAGTAAAGCCAGGCTCGTTTGGGACTGTGTAGTCAAACTGAAGAATTAGCTGAATCAGCCGAATCGAGAAGCTGTAGATTAAAATGGACCTTGTTTGCCCTCTAGAGGTAGCAGCTGTGCAGTTTTCCTGTTAAAGTTGTATTTAACCTTTTCTGTATTGTAGTCACTTCTAGAAATGTGTTCCCAGAGGAGGAAAGGAAGGGGTGGCAGTTCAGTGGCTCTTTGGAGTGATCCCAGTGAATGCTGCAGAATTGTAAATTGGGGAACATAATATTCTTACTGGTGGAAGACATGTACTGATTCTGCATAACCTAATCACTAAGCAATAACCTGGGTGTATGTTAGGCTCTCAGGTACATATTCCCTGTTCAAAAAGTATTCTCAGTTTTGCCTATTTAGTTTAAGAGTGACTAAGGAATCTTACTAAAATTTGTAATGAAAAGAGAGAAGAAATGCAGTTAAAATCTCAATATACTTAATTTTATCTGATCTTACAAATTTGTCAGAATTGAGCTGAATTAATACTGCTTGAGATTTTGGCTCTGTCTAGGATAACAGTCTAAGAAATGAATGCTCATACACAGTGTATCAGAAAAAGTAAAAGATATATGAGACGTGATGTAAGATTTCAAATCTGGTGGTAACTTACTTTGAAACTGGGTGAATTAATGACTTTTCTGCCACCTGATTTCTCCAGCTCAGACAGTATCTAGGAAGCTTCCAGTGCCAAACGTCTCTTACCACCTCAGCCCCAAGGCCCAGAGGCAGCATTGAAAACATCCTTTTCCCGAGGACCAGATGGCTTTCTGTACCCTTTCACAGGTGCACCTGCTCTTTGTCTGCTTGGCCTGTGCTTTTCTACAATGAGGATGATGAGTCTGGGCAACTGCAGACTTGGAAGATTCTTATCTCTTGGGCACTGCAGCCAGACTTAGCACATTTCCCTGCACCTGGGACAGGAAATGCTGATAGTGAACTCTGGGTCTCTGGAAAAAGGCATCCTCGAGGGTGTCCATGTGTGGAAAGGGAGCCTGTTGGGAAAAGGGGCAGACAGTCTGGAAATCGCTGAAATGCAAATTATCAACTCTAGACCTGTAATTCTCTTGAAGCCTCAAGAGAGCAGTTAACTTAGACAAAATCAAGTAGGAGTATTAAGGGACAGGAGTTTGCAGCCAAACCTGTATTCTTCCATCCGAGTACTAGCCAGGCCTGACCCTGCTTAGCTTCCAAGATCAGATGAGATCGGGTGCATTCAGGGTGGTATGGTGAAGACCAAACCTGTGTTCTTCTCTAGATTCTACTTCTTAGTGCTGTGAGACTTAGGCACCTTATTCTGAGTCCATTTTCACTTAGCTGAAGTGGGGATGATAATCCTAATGATGGGACTGTAAAAATTGAGATGGTGCACTAAAAATGCTTTCAGTGAAGGCCCTTGTTTTTTCCTCTTGCAGGAACAAGGGCTAAGGAAAGGGAATTATGGGTGTCACCTAAGAAAAGTCCAGAACTCTAGACCAGAGGCCTTGAAAAACTAAATTTAGCCCCGGCTGGTGTAGCTCAGTGGATTGAGTGCAGACCTGCGAACTAATGGATCCCGGTTCGATTCCCAGTCAGGGCACATGCCTGGGTTGCAGGCCAGTTCCCAGCAGGGGACATATAAGAGTCAACCATACATTGATATTTCTCTCTCTCTCTCCTTCCCTTCTCTAAAGATAAATAAATAAAATCTTTTAAAAAAAACCTAAATTTATTTTAATCCTTTGCAACACTACTGTTGTGTCTCCTAGACGTTAGCAAATGAAAGGCCCTTCACCACCACCTGGAGGTCATAATGTATCAGAAAAGTTGGTCAGTGTAGAATTTGGGAACATTTCCTCTTGGTAGAGCTTTCATTTATTCTAAAATACCTACTATGTTTCAGGTATAGGATGCGCTAATAAGGAAAACAGAAGTTCTGTCTGCATGGAAGTAAAGTAACATCGTAGTGGGGAAAGGTGACCAGGTACATAATCGGGATGAGGGTAAGTGCACTAAAGAAAGCAAAGCAGGAAAAGTAAAGAGTTGGCGATGTTGCTGTTTTAGATGGATAGTATAAGTCTCTTTGGTAAGGTCACATTTTATCAGAATCCTGAGTGCAGTGAGAATCATGTGATACCAGGCACGAGGAATAAAGTACAAAGACCCTTTGGTAAAGCATCCTTAGTCTGCTTAAACAAACACACACACATACCATACAGGCCCATATGGCTGGAACAAATGGACCAAGGAGGGGAGTAGTAGATTAGGTTGAAGAGGTGGCTGCGATAAAGATTGTATAGATTAGCAAAACAACTCTGACGACAAGGAATTTTAGGTGCCTCTCAGGCCAGTAAGAGATCATCTCCGAAGCCAAACAGATGGGTGCTTGTAAAACTTTGAAAGGGGCTAAAACTGAAAGGGCGTGTCTGGTCACAAGTCCTCCTTGGGCTGGAATGCCCAAGGAATGTTAGATATGATAAATAGGTACTTACTCATTCCAACCTCTTTCTAATGTGCTTTCTTGTACTCCATAGGCTAGAAAGCTAGAAACTGCAATATATATCTTAAACTTCCTTGAAACCAGGGTTCTGAGTGTAATCAGTTTTGCCAATTAGATGCACAAACAAAATATGGAAAGAAAAAGTGATTAGGGTTATCTTCAGCTGCTATGATTTGCTCCTTGCAAGGATGTGGAGACCTTGGGTTTCTCTTCAGTGGTATTCCACTCTCCACCAGGAGTTTCATGGGTGTTGAGAGGCTTCCTGATCCATATATAACAGTGATATGTGTTCTTGTAGTCAATCTGTGGCGGTCTCTTGGTTCCTCATGTCCTGATTGTGGCGGAGGTAGCAGCTTCCACGGTGGATCAATGCAGGGGTCTTTCCTAGACGCCCAGCCTAGAGACTGCTCACCCAGTCTTTTCCAACTCTGGTGAGCATCTAATTTACCTGTATTGAATCCTGTTGTACTTAAAATAGAGAGAAGGGACTTGTTTCCTTCAACTACTGAACCCTTACCAATAAAGGATTTGGTTCCAAAAGTGGTTACAGGTAATAGGTCCTCAAAGATGGAACTCAGATTAGTTATGACTGAGTTGGATTTGAATGAGAAAGGAATCTAATCGCCACTGGAAAATGATGACCTAGTAGGCAAAGATTACTTACAGCTGTGGTCACTTGAGATGAAACGTCTTAAAAGAGCCCTGGCTGGTATAGCTTAGTGGATTGAGCATGAGCCTGTGAACCAAACAACCACAGTTCGATTCTTGGTCAGGGCACATGCCTAGGTTGCAGGCCAGTTCCCAGCAGGGGACACACGAGAGGCAACCATACATTGATATTTCTCTCCCTCTCTCCTTCCCTTCCCCTCTAAAGATAGATAAATAAAATCTTTTTAAAATGTCTTAGAAGAAATGTTAGCAGACTTAGATGATAGTGGCTATGCTAGAGAGGTTAAAGAAAATGAAAGGCTTAGTAGTTTTACATTTTCAGCTCCAGGCAAGTATGGGAGAGTCCCCAAAGAATTTTGTCTCCTGTAGCCACAAGGCTGATGTGTGTGAAACTCAGGTGGAGATTCTCGGTTACTGAATTGCAACATAAGTTAAAATCACAGCCTTACCTGTTATGTGAAAATTAGGGCATTAGGGAAGAGTGGGGTTCTGAAATAAGCTATGGGAATATTTGAATGGATTTCAGTAAATCTTACTGTTCTGAATCCACAGGCTTCAGTTAACTTTTTCCTCTCAGTCTTACCTGGAGACCAATGGGTAGTTGCCTTGGAAACGAACGCTAATACTTTTCATCGCCCCTAGTACTTCTCAGGTGCTGATACTACTTCTCATTGCCCACTACCCCTTATTACCACCAGACCTGTAATTACGGTCAGACCTCAGTATGCATCTTGAAGGCAAACACAGTCTGATCTAAGAGGCTTACGGAAAAACTGTAAGATTTGGTTCATTTGAATCAGCAGAAACCTGAGGAATGTTTGAAAACTAGATTCAAAAGGTATTAGACCAGGAGGAAAAGAGCATAATTTTATTTTCATTTGGGTAGAATTTACTAATCCGGACATTCTAGAGATTCTGGCTTTAGCAGCTAGGAGTGCCTCTTAGCTGGTTGGTTGGATGAAACTTGGATTTAACAATGCTCTGGACTCGAATTGAACTGCCAGAAATTACTTAGTATAGCATTGGAAGACAAATCCAAAAACATGAAAATAGAAATGTTGATGCAGATTTTTAAAAAGATTTTATTTATTTTTAGAGATAGTGGGAGGGAGGGAGAAAGAGAGGGAGAGGAACATCAATGTGTGGTTGCTTCTTGCAGGCCCCCCACTGGGGGCCTGGCCCAAAATCCAGGCACGTGTCCTGACTGGGAATCAAACCGGTGACCCTTTGGTTTGCAGGCCAGCACTCAATCCACTGAGCCACACCAGCCAGGGCTGTTGATGCAGATTTATAATGTGTGACCTCCTTTCCTAATTTTGCCCTTCAAAATTGCCCAGAAGATATTCCATTCACTAAGGAATTAGAAAGTACATAAATAATGGGAACACCTTATCTTGAAAAGCACTGGAGTGTCTATTCTCCTGGGCCAGAAATGAAGCTACGAGATGCTGCCATTGAGAAGGAATCCCTGGTATCAGTAGGGATGACAGGATCCTGGAGAGACGGGCCAAGGGGCAGAACCAAGGCAACAGAGCTGGAGTGGTGAAAAACAACCCACTGAGTTTCTCTTGGGTCTGTGTAACACTAAGCAAAACTCTGGGTCTGGCACAGAAGCCTGCTTTGAATCACCAAAACAGAGAGTTACTGACACTCAGTTCTCGGACCCAAGGCTCTTGAATAAAGGGATGCTGGGTACCCTGAAGGGAGCACCCGGTATCTCATCATAACTGAACTGTAGATCTTCTGGTCTTCCCCCCAAAATCTCATTAACCTATGTTCCTGCACTCAGGAAAATGGAAGTACCCAGGCCTTTACGGAATATTTGGAAACTGACGCTAAGCCAGCACTACTCCTAAGGAACCTAAAAGGTCTCTGTGGTCCACTGATTAGAATAGAGGCATAAGGGGTATTGTGGGTTGAATCGTGTCCCCCAAAGTTCATATGTTGGAGTCCTAACCCCTAGTACCTCTGAATGTGAGCTTATTTGGAAATAGAGTTGTTGCAGATGTAATTAAGATGAGGTACTACTAGAGTAGGGTGGGCCCCCAATCTGATATAATTGGTGCCATATGAAAAGGGAGGATTTGGACACAGAAACACTCTCAGGGAGAACACCATGCGAAGATGAAGGCAGAGACGGGGCTGATACAGCAGAAGCCAAGACAAGCCAGAGATTGCTGCAAAACGTCCAGAAGCTAGGAGAGAGGCAGGGGACAGGTTCTCCTGTGTGGCTCTCAGAAGGAACCAGCCCTGAAGAGACACCTTGACTTCGAGCCTCCAGAACTGTGAGAATAAAGTAGTGTTTAAGCCACCTAGTTTGTGGTGCTTGTGAGGGCACACCTACCAAACCAATATGTGGGGCCAGGTAATTTAAAAGGGAGCTTTGGCCTGGGTATACCCTACATGCCCATCCTGGGGTTATTTCCCAGTTTCTGTAGTTACAGTTGTAATAACCATACTTGGCAACTGGCAGAGTCTTCACATTGACTACAGCGTGAGAGCTATTTAAGAAGAATAAAGGAAAGTCCCTGGAACTGTTTTTCCCCACCGAATTCTAAGCTGGAAGCAGCAGTGCCTCCCTGAGGGAATGGTGGGTATTACCACCACCATTAAAGACTGACATTCAGGAGTCGTGACCCCCATGTAGATACATTTAGGGCATTTACCCTGTACAGGACTTGACTTACAGATGTTATTTCAGGTATCTCATTATAAAGCAAATAAAACCTGCCCCTGGCACCTGCAGCCAGGCCACTATTGACTGGAATATGCTTCTTTCCCCTTTAGCCTAAGTAGCAGAAAACATGCGAAGTATTCACCTGTCCAGGTCAACGGTCCATCTTGCTGTCCTACATCTGGGTTATATCAGCTCTCCAGCTCTGTTGAAATCTCATCCGAGGCACTTTAACCATCTCACCTTTCCCAGCGGAACATCACTTGACATGTGTTTACATCATGTTTTTGGACCTAATAAGCAAGGAGTAGCAGGTAGGTATCCAAATGCTTTGAGTAAAAAATAATACATACATACATACATACAATGTGTTTTAGAGGATAAGCAAAAATCCTGTGGAAATTAAGGGCACTTTCATCTCTGTGAAGTTCTTAAGGATCCAGAGGAGTAGTCAGGAGCACAGCAGCTAGTCTAAAGTGAGCTGTTACACTGTACACTCCCCACCACTAAGAAAACATCTGAACATTTGACGGATTACTTTTGGTCTTAGAAGTAGCATGCTGCACTAACCTATTTACCAAGTAGCCCATTAAGACTAGCAGCTTTGATGGGCCTCCAGAAAGAGAATGGTCGGCAGTGGGTGCAGGCTGCAATGTAAACCAGTCTGGTTGAAGACCGTGGACTCCAGTGGTGCGCAGAGCCCCCTGGCGAATGAGGATACAGAGTATACACTGTGACGAGCTTCCACGAGGGAATCGCAGCACAGGGCCTTATGATTTTGGAGTGAAGCCATGCCATCTGTGGCAATGACTAGTCTCTTCCTCCTGAGCCCTGCTCCATGATCTGGGGGGACCAGCTGGGCACGTGTAGTGGTTAGATTGCATCGGATCCCTTCCATCACAGAGAAAGCAGCCATTTGTCCTCAATGGAAAAGACATTCATTCATTCAAGATATGGATTGTTTCCACGCATGCCAAGTCTAAAATACTCACAGAGAAATTTTAAACTGAGAAAAAAACCCAATTATTGTAAAGCCAGACATTTCCCCCATTCCCTATTATTCTGAATTTGATGATATGTTCACGTTGAGAAGCCTAGTGGCTAAGAGGGTGGACTCCAGAGCCAGAAAGCCTGCGTAGGAATTCTGACTCCATCATTTTGTATCTTATGACCTTGGTTAAATTATTTGACCTCTCTATTTCAATTCTTTACTGGGGACTGTGAGCGCTAAATGAATACGTATGATAGTGCCTTGCCTGTAATAAGTGCTGTTCATATTAGCTAGTGTCATTTTCACTTAGTATCCGGATCATCATCGTTCTTACTGTCTATAAACTTACTAAACGCCTTATTCATCATGGGGTATTCCACACAACACTGCCTCTCATCAAGTAGGCAATGGGCCAAGACCCACGGAATCATCCCGCAGCAGCTGGCCTTACAGAATAGTCAAATGGCTTACAAATGGTTTACAATTCTCAACACCCACAAGAAAAATACTTCCACCAGGGCACATAATCAGTCCATTGACTAGAAATTTTCTCGCCAATGTGGGTGGTTCATCCACTGAACCAATAGCCTAAAAGGGACAACAGTGTTAGGTGGAGTGATTGGTCCTGATTACCGGGGAACGTAGTTTACTGTTGCACGGTGGGGGATGGGAAGAGGTATGCCTGGAACCTAAAGGACTGTCTGCAGGTACTTCTAGTACTACCATATTTAGGAGTAAAAGTTTTAAAAGGCGAAACCACTAAGGGCTCAAATCTTTTAGGAATTAAGATTTGGGTCACCACCCCAGAGGAAAATCCTCATCCAGATGAGGTACTGGCTAGGAGAAAAGGAACTTAGAATGGGTAGTGGAGAAAGTTATGAATCCAAATAGTTCATGAAAACTTGAGAAATGAGGACTACATTAGTATTTCAGTTTGTGCTGTACTGTGTATATGTTTTATAGCTATTAACCAGTTTTTTCCCCACTTCCCACATTTTCCCTAGAATTATAAGGTGTGTTATTATTGGTAACTTTTTTTAAAGAGGATTTTATTTATTTTGAGAAAGATGGGAAGGGAGGGAGGAAGAGAGGGAGAGAAACATCGACGTGCAGGACATACATCCAATTGGTTGCCTCTCGCACGCCCCCAACCTGCAACCCAGGCACATGCCCTGACTGGGAATTGAACTGAGGAATTTTCCGTTCGAAGGCCAGTACTCAGTCCACTGAGCCTCTCCAGCCAGGGCTGTTGTTGGTAATTTGATAATGTAGTTCTTCGGCTACAGCTGTTGAGGCAAAATTGTGACTCAGCCAGAATGGACATCACCTATAGGTGGATTCATAACTAATAGGATTTTTAGTCTTTCCTCTTAGGGAAGGGAGTAGATCCCTGAAAAGCCAGAGGATGAATTGATGTAGATAGGGTGAGTTGGCTGTCAGCATCCATTCTACTCTCTTTCTCATACTGCCAAGGCTGTGGAATTAAACACTACATTTCCCAGACTCCCTTGTAGCTAATATTCTGCATAAAAATTAGTGTCTGTAAACTGCATCTATTTATATAAGAGTTGGGAGGGAGAACTGGCTGGTGTAGCTCAATGGATTGAGCGCAGGCCTGTGAAGCAGGTTCGGTTCCTGGTCAGGGCACATGCCTGGGTTGTGGGCCAGGTCCCTGGTAGGGGACACATGAGAGGCAACCACACATTGGTGTTTCTCCCTCACTCTTTCTCCTTCCCGTCCTCTCTCTCTAAAAAATAAATAAAATATTTAAAAAAAAAAAGAATTGGGAGGGAAAAGTGAGACCAGGGCCATCTCCCTCCGGGCAGTATTCCAATGTCCAATCATTAGCTCCATGCTGTTTAAAAGCAGTGGTGACAGCAGCAGAGATGGCTCTCTGACCCTTAGATTGCAGCTGCAATGCTGTATTTTTTTTTATTGATTTTGAGAGAGAGACATCAGTGTGATGCTCTACCCATCCATGCACTCATTGGTTGCCTTCTGCATGTGCCCTGACTGGGAATTGAACCTGCAACTCTGTTGCACCAGGACAATGCTCCAACCAACTGAGCCACCCGGGCAGGGCATGCTGTGTGTAGTTTCTAACCATTCCCATTTTTTTATTGAGATGTAATTCACATAACAAAATTCATCACTTTTAAATATACAGCTCAGTAGATTTTAAATATATTCGCAAAGTTGTGCAACTCTCACCACTAATTCCACAACATTTGCATTACCTGCAAAGAAATGTGTTAGCAGTCAATCTCAATTCCCTCTCCCCTCAGCCCTGGCAGCCACTAGTCTAATTTCTGTCCCCATGCATTTGCCTATTCTGGACATTTTACATGTGTGGAACCACACACTGTGTAGCCTTTTGTGCCTGACCTGTTCACTTAGCAGAAGGTTTCCAGGATCGGTCCTTATTGTGCCCTGTAACGATGCTTCACTCCATTTCATGGCTGAAGAACATTCCGTGAGGTACTGTATGGCTATACCACATTTTGTTTATATAATCACTAATTGATGGGCATTTAGGTTATTTCCATTTTTGGTTATTGTGAATAATGCCATATGAATATTGGTATACAAATATCTGTTCAAGTTCCTGCTTTCAATTATTTTGGGTATATATCCAAAAATGGAATTGCTGGATTATATAGAAATTCTGTGTTTGATTTTTTTTTTTGAAGAACCACCATCCTTTTCCACAAAGGTTATACCATTTTACTCACCAGCAATGCACAAGAGTTCCACTTTCTCCAAATCCTTGCCAATACTTGTTATTGTCTGTCTTTATCATTATGGCCATCTTAGTGAGCATGAAATGGTATTTCACTGTGGCTTCAATTGCATTCCCCTAACACCTGATGATGCTGAGCGTCTTTTCATGTACTCCTTGGCTGTATGTGTGTGTTCTTTGAAGAAATATCTATTCAAGCACTTTGCTTCTTTTTAAATTAGTCTATTTGTCTTTTTTATGGTTGAGCGATAAGACATCTTTATATAGCCCTGGCTGGTGTAGCTCAGAGGATTGAGTGCAGGCCTGCAGACCAAAGAACCGTGGTTCAATTCCCAGTCAGGGCACATGCCTGGGGTTGTGGGCCAGGTCCTCAGTAGGAGGCGCATGAGAGGCAACCACACATTGATATTTCTCTCCCTCTCTCCTTCCCTTCCCCTCTGAAGATAAATAAATAAAAAATCTTTTAAAAAATGAGCTAAAAAAAGACTTCTTTATATATTCTGGTTACAAGTTGCTTAACAGATATGTGATTTGCAAACATGTTCTCCCATTCTATGGGTCATCTCTTCACTTGCTGTGCTGTTCGGTGCTGAGTTCCAGTCGCGGCCTCCTGACTCATGGTGGTGTCAGAGTTAGCGGCTACTCCATAGCCTTGTTCTGAGAGTCTTTCTTGGAGGCTTATCCTAGAGCCTCCTCCTTTAGCCCTTCCAACTTTTTTTAAACACCTAATTCCTTGTATTAAATCCTTTTGTACTTAAAAATAGAGTGCTTTCTCTTTCCTGCAACTGACCTCTGACTCAGAAATAGCACAACTTGAAACCTTCAAGCTGGGATACGACATGTCATTTCGCTAGAGCTGACGCACAGCCAAACAATAATAACAATAAATTCCTGGAAAGTCAGATTTGGAAGCACCTTTGGAGACCAACTGGTCCAACTCCTTCATTTGTGAAATGAGGGGGGGAAATTGAGACATGGTTAGAAAGACCAAAAAAAATCATGAAGCTGAGTGCATGCAACTCCCTGAGCCTCCTCCCAAGGCCAGCAAACATGAACTGATGTGCAGGAAATCACTGTGATCTAGAGCATGTAAATCCAAGGAGGCCGCCCTGCCAACCTTACTGCAGCTGATTGGACACAGAGTTTGGGCCCAAGCCAAACGCTGCCGTGAACGACCTAGATGTGAGGGAGGCCACCCACCAGTATGAGACTGTCTGGTATGGCAGACATGAGTGCTGGGAGCACACCCAGAGCGTGTCAACAGAATGTCACCGGATCACTGTTCCTGTTCTCCAGGGACCTGCTTGGGCAGCCAAGGTGGCTTCCCCTGATAATCTCACTTCCTCTGTGTCCCTATCATAGCCCCCATCACCAAAAGTCCTCTGAACATAGCTGCATTGGAGATGCTGCCTAACTTGACCTCTGTGGCCTGCCTTTGTGAGTAGCTTGGGATATAGTTCCACATCTGGACACTGCTTGGAAAAAATTCATCCATTGCTCACTGTACATAGACAGCTGCTCTCTTTGGGCTCGGTGCAGGGGCACAGAAACTGACACCCAGAGACAGACCCAGGCCGTGGAGATGCAGAACCACCAATGGAAAAGTGGCACTTGAAACCACAGATGTGAATGAAAGGAGAAATGGCTTCCTCTTCTCATAAACCTTTAACCAAAGAGTGCCAGGAAAGGAGCAACCAGAAAAGGGAGCAGGGGAACCAGGAATAAACAAACTGGAAGCCAAGTGAGGTGAGAATTCATGAAGGAAAGTGTAATTGTGCTACCAGAATGGGGACAGGGCCCAGAGCTGGCCTGCCTAAGGTCA